GCTGCCAGACCTGCTGAGCTTTTCCAGCACTTTTGTTTTTGTTCCTGATTTACAGCATCCGCAGTTCTTTTGGTTTTTACTTAAAATCCAGGCATTTCCAGAAAAATGAATCTTAATGGTATTCGTTGGGATTGAATGCATGCACTGTGATGCTGAGACAAATGCTGCCAAAAGACTGTTTCCTTAGCTGTTTCTGTTGAACAAAGGTTTGGTCATTTGAGAACAGACTAATTTTTTTTTAGAACCTGTTCAAAAGACTAAATGCTGAGGCCTGACTTTATGACATTATAAGTGTCACCTGTTATTATTATTATTATTATTATTATTATTATTCTCATTTTCATTAACATTTGAAAGATTTTAACTGCATCCACAGACCACATAATAAGAATAAGGAAAACAGAAGCGATTTGCACAGACCCAAGCAAACAACTATCCTTCAGTAGTCTCTAATGTTCAGCACTGACCATCAAGTACATATTATTAAAATAATTTGGATTTCTCATGTTTAATTGGGCACATAGAACTGTTACCCTGCACCTCTCTCTGCCAATTAAAAGCCCAAGTTCAAATCTACCCAAATGTGTTTTGGACAATTTGTAGCAACGTACTTATTGATCCATAAAAGTCAATAGTCTTGCTTAATACTAAACTTCCCAAACAAAGCCTCAACTATATCTCACAGCAAGTTTCACAGTGATCATTTTGATTGGCAAATAGGGACACTTACAACATTAGCTTTAGTGAGAAACAAACGGTGTTGGCTTCTTGTCAATAATGTAACTCGTGTGAGCTTTCTCGTTGCTGAAAAACTGGCGGAGCGTGAGGGCAGTAGACCAAGTCACATTAGATTATTTTTCTGTCTGTTCATGTTTAAGGTTAGTCCCATTGTGACTAAAATACTAAAGCTGCAGAGTTCAAGAATTTATTAGATGTTGTACATAAGTGCTATGCCATGTGTAGGCACGAGCATATGTGTGAAATTTTCTCTGCGGTTACTGTGCTGCTTGATACATTCAGTATTTCCAGGTCGTGTACTTAGCAATTTGTTTTGTATTCCAGTTACCTGTGAATTAAGTGGCAAGGAAATTATAGTGAACACGAGTGATGTGTCGCTGTAATTTTTGAAGAATGAAATAGTGCTTTGAGCTAATGATGACAGAAGGTTACAGCCAAGTATCACAGACTAAAAAATGACACAGGTCATAAGACACTGCTCCTAAATGTCACATCAGACGCGGGAGAGTAGAGCATGCATAGGGCATGGTTTTACAGGTGGTAGTACGATCGATCTGTTGTGATGAATTTCTTTCTGTCATGGTTCCATGTTTCTACTGAGCAGTGCAAACTAATTTGAACTACAAATTTCTTGTTCACAGGCTTTGACCTGATGAAGTGCGAGGATCCAGGAACTCCTAATTATGGCTACAAGCTGCGAGATGGAGGGCACTTCGCTGACACTGTGATCTTATACAGTTGCAACCCAGGATATACACTGCATGGAAGCAATACATTGACGTGCCTGAGTGGAGATCGGAGAGTATGGAACAACCCTTTACCATCGTGTATAGGTAAAATTAAGAAGAGATGAGAGTTTGGAAATTTCACTTGCAGGTTTTGTGGGTTGGAATTTACAGGGTGCCATATTTCCAACACTTCTAATTGACATGGTGTTTTGACAGCCTGTCAGACCATGGCCTACCAATAATATTACTGATTCTGATTATTACCATTCTGAGAGGCTGGCAGCTCTGTTGTCCCAGCGCATTGGGATGGAGCGGTGCCTGCAACCAGAACTACAGCCAGTCCTCAAGAAAGGCATATCCATGGGGACTGGATTTTGCGTCATTTGAACTTTTTGTCTTATGTAGAGATTCTGCCTGAGTCAGTTTATTAGCTGAAGCTCACTGACATTACAGGAAACAAGGAGCTATTGAAAAGTTCAGCAGATATTGGACTTTTTAAATCATTCGTGGCGTGTGAGCATCACTGGCTCAACCAGCATTTATTGCTCATCTGTAACAGTCCTGAAGAAGGTGGTGAGCTACCTGCTTGTACTCTTATAGTCCATGTGATGTTGGATTCTTTCAGTGTTATTTGGAAGATAAATATTGACCCAATGACAATGAAGAAACAGCAACTTATTCCAAGTCAAGATGGATGTGGTTGGGAAGGGAACTTACAGGTTGTGGATTTGGAAGATGCTATCAAAAGAGCCTGCATGAGTTGCTGCAGTGCACGTTGCCACTATAAATTGGTGATAGCGAGAGTGCATGTGGGGTCAATTTGTTCTGGATGGTATCAAGTTTTGAGAGTTTTTTTGAAGCTGCACCCATCCAGGCATATGAGGAATATTCCTGACTCTTGCCTTGTCGATAGTTTTAGAGAATGTTTGGCGGAGTGGGGGTGGATTCCTATGCATAGAATTCCCAGCCTTTAACCTGCTGTTGTGGCCAGGGTATTTATATAAAACTTAAACAAAAACAGAAAAATCGCTGGAGAAACTTAACCAGTCTGGTGGCATTTGTGTAGAGAAAACAGAGGTTTGTTTTTTTTTGAGTTCAGTGATGCTTTTTTTTCAGGCTACTGACCCTTATAGAGCTGCTCCAATTCAATTTCACTGGTCACTGGTGACCCAGAGAACATTGATAATAGGGCATTCAATTGTGGAAGTGCCATTGAATGTCAAGTGAAGATGGTTGTGTTACACAAGGTAGTAGATATTAATCGGGTTAATCTGAGCCAAGGTGAAGTTCTGCCCATTCTGCCCAAAACAGCCACTAAGCAGAGCATGGGACATTCAGAGAAGTTCTGGGGCATTGTAATTTAAGACAATCATGTCTTTGACTCATCATATTATTAGTAATATCATGTAACCTGTATATAGCTATTAAGATGTAGTAGACATTTTCCTGTTACCCAAGATAAATGTGTCTTCTGCTGAGACCTATCCATAGTACATCCTTCACTACAAATTACTGGAAAGCCCCTAGGCCAACATAGAAAGAAGGATTGGTGGCAACTCCCTCCCCCAATTTAAAGGATAACTATTAGCAAAACAATGAGACAACAATCCAATACTGCAGCTCAACTTCTCAATACAATCCATCACTCATGGTAATCAAACCAAACCCAACAGCACAGCAGTTTGCACCACATGGTGACATAGAACAGTCAGTACCACTGATGAAATTGCATGTGAAAATTGGCCATTAGAGGAGCGGACCTGTGCCGTTTGTGACAACGAGACCTACAGTGAGACCAATGAATGCCTATTATGCCCTGATTGTAGGTCATATCCCTCTAGTACTCTTGTATAATTGCAAATTGAAGAAGAATGATTCCAAGCGCCAGCATAATTAATTAAAATGGCAAACTGGATAGTACCTGAACTCAACCCCGCCAAAATTTTCCCTGAAATTTACAAACCGAATTTAAAATCCATTCCTTTCCTCTTCAGGAAATCATGTGCCACTGGACCATCGCTTATCAATTGAGTAGCCGCAGTTGTTACCAGAACCCACCTAAATATAAAAGTTTGCCACTGCTCACCACTGCAAGGGAGGAATCTTTTGCAATGTACTTATGTTAAAATTAAAGTTTATTTAAGTAGAAGAGAAACATTTGCAATTGCATTATCTGAAGGCAGCACACAACTGTGCAAAGGGTGTTGCCCACTTTCTTTTCACATGCTCCTTTAAAGCCTACCTCTTTGAGCAAACATTTAAGCAGCTCTCTGAATATCTCCTAATATGGCACAGTGTCTAATTTTGCTTCTGTGAATTATCGTGAGATGTGCAATTACATTAAAGATGCTGTATCAAATGGTCGTTTTTGTTGTATATGCTAATTGACAGTCTATGTTTCATTGGCAAATTAAGCCTCAGTGAAGCAAGATTGGCTGTCGGTGACAACAAAGAATTTACAACCAAATTGTTTTCAACTCTTGCTTTTTTTCAGCGGAATGTGGAGGCCACTTCAAAAGTGCTACTGCTGGGAGGATTCTGTCTCCTGGCTACCCAGCACCGTATGATCACAACGTCCACTGTACTTGGATTATAGAAGCTGATCCAGGAAAAACTGTCAGGTATGCCCTCTTCCTCCTCCTGCAGAATGTTAAAGCTGTCCTTTATGGCAACAGAGACACAATCGAATTCTTAAAATTATCCCATTTCATCCCATATACTGTGGAAAAAATGTAAAATGGAGTGTCAGTGTTAGAGACACAAACATCAATGTGTTAGTTTCCACTTGCTGTAGAAATAGAACCCTGTTTGTGTAAAGGGAGTGGACAATAACAAATAGACAGTTAAGTAAATGCACCAATAACATAGGATGAGAAAAGAAAGGAAGACTTGTATTTGTATCCTGGAGTTTACAACTGCAGCATGTATCAAAGTGCATTACCGTCAAGGGAATGCAAAGGGAAATAATTGTTTTTGTAACATAGGAAACACAGCAACAAATTCATGCACTTATCAGTCCCGACGAAGGGTCCCGACCTGAAACGTCGACTCTCCTGCTCCTCTGATGCTGCCTGACCTGCTGTGTTCCTCCAGCTCCACACTGTATTGACTTGCACTTCACATTGTACTGCTTGTGATGTTTGAATAACCTGTTTTTGTGAGCTTGAATGAGGAAGATAAATGTTGACCTGAAATCTGGGTCGAACTAACCCAGCCCCTGTCACACATGCTGCGTCACTGCTTCTGTTACTCCCAAAGAGTAAGTGAAAAACTTGCAAATGATACACTAATAAATTTCGGTGCTGTTGAAATTGTAAACCAAGCCATATTAAGTGATCCTCTTAGTTCAATTTTCCAGCTTCTAAATTTTTAGCTAATAAGTCTTGATCCTGAATTAATTATTTCAACTTTTCATATCAGTGGCATAAATTATGAAATGTTTTGCACACATTGTCTGAGTTATTATTGTATGAACCAATTTAATTAACTTCCAAAACACTGTGCCAAGTGTCTTGTGTAGAAAGAGGAGTAGCCTAGGAATTACTATTGGTTCACTATTTGGGAGTGGTCAGCTTTACCTTGATTCTAGGACGATGTTGACTTGGGAGGGCGAGTTGCTGCATCTAGTGCTTCTGCAGCCGAATAGACCGCTTCTTGACCCACTGATCTTTGGCATATGGAAAATGATTTTGTATAAGGTAGCAGTACCCTGAGTGAAGGACTTGCTTCCTTTTCTTCTCTGCCTCATCATTAAGACATTTGAACTTTCAGCATGATGCAAGTTAGTGGACAATCTGTCGCTATTTCGAATGGTTTGCAGCAAGCACTTCCCACCATTAATGTCAGTGCTGCCGTGCTTCAAGGAGAGATTCAGAATGACTTTGTAGTTTTCTCTTTGCCCTAGCTGGAACAGTAGCCATTCAAGAGTTGAGGAAACATGACCTTGCAGGGGATGTTCTTTTCAGCCATTCAGATACAATATCCCATTCATTGTGGTTGATGTTTCTGAGGTTTTGCTTGACTGCTTGCAGAGTTGGCTTTGAGAGGATGCTAGCATTTGTTCAATGGTTGTCCCATTGAACCCAGAGAATGTGATGGAGACATTGCTGTGGCATTTCTCAAGTGTTCCGTGTTGCTGATATACAGCCTGGACTTACTACAGGGCAACAGTGTGGTGACAACAACTCCTCTGTTCACAACCACACCTTTTGACTTGTGCAGGCCTTTATTGTCAAATACTTGCTGCTGCACTTTGTAGAAAGCTGAACTGGTACAATTAATTCAAGGTAAACAATGGGATGCAGAAACAAGGAAGACATCTTGTTTTATTCATAATTTTGCTGCTTTCAGTTTGTGGGCAAGTATGGGGACTGTATTTCCCACACACCAGTAAAATGTACCATCAAACACAAATCCTTTTAAATAGCTGTGAACTGCAGATTTCTAAACAAAGCTGTTTAGGGAGAAAAAAATGCAGCTGTTTATTCAGAAAATCTGTGATAGAATTAGATGAATGAGAAAAGCCAGTCTTAAATAGCACACACAAGCTTTTATGCTTACAATTACGTTTGGAGGCATACAGTCTAAATAACTTAATGTCACCGTCCACGTCTTGTTCGTCCCTCTGAGGAGCTGAGCAGGTGGTTAAATGGCAGCCAGCCATTGCAGTCTTGAAATGGTTGCATTACCTGCAAAACCCTCCCATTGTGTGAATGACTGAGATCACCACAAACGCAGCAGACTACTAACAAAATCCTCTAGCTAGGTAGCAGGCATCTACTTGATGAAACCAATTAGGAGGGGGTTGGTGGTTAGATGTTTAGATGTCACATTTAAATTAGGACATATGAGAAGCACCATGTTAAATCACTTTGAGGCCATACATTATCCAAATTATTCAAAACTTTTTCTGCACTGCTTGTGCTGAGAGTATCTTCATGAATTTGCACATTATTGCAGCAGCTTTGTAAAGTGATGAAGTAAAGATTTCTGAAGGAGTTTTAAGTCATTATCTTTGGTTCATGTTGATAGAAGGATCATTCAAGTAGACAGCTCAGGGTCTAAGTTAAAAAAAAACTCTTATTAATGTCTAATGCACCAGAGCTACTATTCATGGCTTGGGGGCTTCGTCCTCAGTTGCCATGCTAACACTCATTCCATGTTCTGTTTGTTGCCTCCTTTTTTGTGTCTTAGTTCAGTGCAGTGTGCGGAGCATGGAGGATATGGCAATGACCCGAGACAGTATCTAGGAGTGTTGGGAGGTGGGCGGGATTGTTTAATAATTTGGCTCTTGATCTCATCAGCTATTTGACATGTGGAAGAAAGAAGTCATTTGTAAGTCTGAGTGTGATGTCAGTGGTTACAGATGATCTCACAGCCTCAGCATGCAGATCCTCAGTTTGGCTGCATATAATCTTACTAGTTAGGGAAGAAATTGGGACTTGCCGAACATGCATTCAGCCCTACCCTCCCAATAAGATGAGTATGGATGATTAGAACAAACTAAATTCAACATTTTGTTCTCATGGTCTAAGAGCAGCACAACATTGAAAATTTAGAGTTCTTTGTTTATATGGATCCAGTATTTCACTCTAGAGACCCAAATGGCCACATGGTGCAAGTATTTATTTATCAACAGCCAGAAGATCGAATTAGTTTAAGCTCTGGTGTTACTGCTACTCAGTGGCAAATGAAATAAATATATCCAATCCTTCATGCATCTGTACCATTCGTGGAAACTGATATAAATGACACATCAAAAGACCCCAGCATTGATACGCACCCCCCAAAAAAAACGCAAATATAAAAATTGAGACAGTGACGGTGACCAGTGGCGTCACCATCTCGATTACAGATTTATGGCGGTATTCTTGTGGGAAATTGCTAGCAGTTTTGCTGTTCTCTAGCTTCCTGGAACACGGCTCATTGGTCAATTCCATGTTGCATTCAGGCAAGTATTGAGAATGCAGTCTTTGTATCAGCTCATTGCTGCACTTGCAGCTGATAATGTTGCTTTCTGGAGATGCCGAGGGAACTGAATTGGGTCCAGGTTTCAGGTTCTTCTGTTTTGAGTTTTATTCTAATTAAGATCTTTACATCCAGCCCAGTGAGGGGCATTTAATCCTAACAGAATCGACGAGATTCAACATCAGATACTGGAAGTAAAGGAATGGTGTGCTAATGTATTATGTTACCTAATCCCTACCAACAATTTTTCACATAGCATTTTAATCTATCAGAATGCAACTTCTATGAAGTCCTTTATTATTCATCACTCTTGCATTTAATAATTTAAAAATAACAAACTGAACACAGCATAATGAAGATAAGATCATTATTTTTCAAAAAAAGTATTTAACCAAGGACAGGAGAAATGTTTGGTTTTGACATACAGTTTAAAACCTGCTTTAGATTGATCTTTTCTCTGCTTACAATTTATGTTGAAAATAATAAGCAGGTTTGAAAATAAAATTAGATTTTCAAATACCAATATCTAGCTGCTGCACATCTTCATGATCTGAAGTGGGTATTGTCTCTTCATAATGGCCCTTTAATTTGTAAATGGAGCAATGATGGACTTCGGAGGTTGAAGTGTTGATAACATCTCCTGCTGTCCCTGTTCTATGGCTGTCAATGTCATGGCCTACAAAGAGTGCAAACAGCTCAGAGAATCTATATTAATGCTTTGATTGCAATTGCATCAAGCCTTCATACTTGTTCATAAAAGGTGTATTGTGACCCTTTCTCCACCAACACAGAGTCAGAGTCATACAGCACAGAAACTGACGCTTCAGTTCAACCAAGCCAGGCATAATCCCAAATTAAACTAGTCCCACCTTCCTGCTCCTGGCCCATATCCCTCCAAACCTTTCCTATTCATATATCCATCCAAATGTCCTTCAAACGTTGTAATTGTACCTGCATCCAGCACTTCAATTAGGACATTCATTCCACATGTGGACCACCCTCTGTGTAAAAAATTTGCCTCTCTTTTTTTTAAATCTCTCTCCTCACACCTTAAAAATGTGCTCCCTAGTCTTGAAATTCCCCTCCTTAGGTAAAAAGCAACTACCATGAACTCTATTTATACCTCTCATTACTTAATAAACTTCTATCAGGTCACCTCTCAACCTCCTATGCTCCAATGACGAAGGTCCCAGCCTATCCAGCCTTTCCTTATAACTCAAACCTTCCATACCTGGCAATATCCTGGTAAATCTCTTCTGAACCCTCTCCAGCTTCATAATATCCTTCCTGTAACTGGTGGACACAGTATTCCAGACGAGGCCTCCTCAATGTCCTGTACAACCTCAACATAATATCCCAACTCCTATATTCAAAAGACTGAGCAATGAAGGCAAGTGTGCCAAGTACCTTTTTAAACTATCCTGTCTATATGTGACGCAAACATTAAAAATTATGTACCTGTACCCCTAGGTCCCTCTGTTCTACAACACTACCCAAGGCTCTACCATTAATTGTATAAGCCCTACCCTTGTGTTGTACCAAAATACAATACCTCGCATTTATCCAGATTGAACTCCACCTGTCATTTTTTAGCCCATTGACCCATTTGATCAAGATCCCCTTGTAATCTTAGAAAATCTTCTTCACTCTCTAC